AAAAAAAAAAAAAAAAAAAAAAAAGACCAACTATATTCTAGAGTACAGAATGTGGTACTGTCCTCTGGGACATACGTTAAAATTGGAATGATACAGAGAAGATTAGCATGGCCCTTGCGGGACAGTGACACAGAAATTGAAACAATGATCCAAAAAAAAAAAAAAAAAAAAAAAATCCATGGTACTGAGTTACTTGCCCAAGATTTTCCTGGTGTGCAATTCATGGTACTATCACTAACTATCTCCATGGTACGAAGCCAACTTCTTCCACATGTACAATCCATGCTACTCTGTCCACAAACCATAGCCTGAAATCCACCAGGTGGAAGCACAGCTCAGCTTAGCTGGCCGTGTGGTAGCACGGCGCTTTACTGGGCTACAGGTATTGGGCTTGATTTACCCTCTTTGTCCACAAAGTAAGTCAGTGCTGTAGAAGCAGATAAAACTCACACGTAGTGGCCTTTGCCTTTTCTATGCTTGCGATGTGGAAGCGCCACCTGTACAGACTACTATACGTTCTGGAGCAGAAGCTCCAGATGCCTGTGGAGCTTCTAACATAGCCATCCGAAGAGTTGAGGTTGCCCTTTTGCAGCAGCAGCAGCAGCAGCAGCAGCAGCAGAATCCGCTAATGCTGCCTCATGGCAGCTTCCCTGGGTTGTTCCCGTCGAGTGGAGTGTGAGGCAGCCTGGTGTTACCTGCCTGAAGCGAAGTGTGTGTGGAGCATGCCCAGGATCTATAGTGCTTTTGAGTTTGTTTGTTTGTTCGTTTTTAATGGTTGCTCTGGATGAGTTCCTGTCTAACTGCATTCCATTTCAGACTAGCATTCTGCTGAGACTCACAATTGAGCAGGTCGTGTGTTGAGTGGATGAAAGCACTGTGTTTTGAAGCACAAGTTTATAACTTTATATACTTTGCAAAGAAGGAGGTCGTCATTCTCATGTATTACCAAGGCAAGGGTACTTAGAAAATGAGAACAATATCTAAGGAAATCGTCTGTTATTGTACTGGGGGAAATCCATTAAAATTTTGAACGATACAGAGATATTAAGCATGCCCCTGCACAAGGATGGCACGCATAACTCGACAAAAAAAAAGAAAAGGAAATGATCCGTTATTGCAAGTTGGTCGCGAATTAGAATGTTGATGCGTTCTAGTCATAACAGCTGCATGCAGTGTTTCACTGCCAACTGCCAGCTATGCATCCAGTGTTTCACTGCCAACTGCCAGCTAGATTGGATAGGTTCGTCTGTGTTTTTGTGGGTGAATGCCGTGAGTTGATTCATCTGAAGGTCGCGATTCCTAGTCTATACATGATTCGCTCTTCCTAGCGTTATGAAGAGAGAACACTGGTTCAACTCCGTCTAGCTGCGGATCAATCGGCTATAAACTGAAACTCTGAACAGCGTACGAGTGCACTAACCAGCCAGAGGATGTTCGTCTAGGCGATGGTTTGTCCGTGGAAGCCGTGGAGGCTGCCTGCGGAGGATCTCATGGATGTCACCTGCTGACGAGTAAGTCCTTGCTGCAACCATACCGGGGTGGGCTGAACGTCATGGCCGGTATGGCTTCAGTTTTGAACACGGGGTCACGGTTGCCGTGGTAAAGACATTCGCCTGTTATGGGCGAGGTCGCCGGTTCGACTCCGTCTGGATGCGGGTCGATCGGCTATAAACCTGCAACTCTGAACAGAGTATGTTGCACATCTCAGAGGAGGAGAGCAAACTGGTGAAATTTGGGAGTGCCCATGCAAATCTTGTCGACAAACGAGCATGTTATGGCAGAATGCTAGTCACTGCTTGGTGTGACTCCAGCTGAATGCAACAGCCACCTAAACTTGACAACTGCCGTACTCCCACATCGATACAGTAGTGCCACCCCATGCAAGCAAATACTGTTTGTCGTTTTGAGGGAAATCTGTGTTTGTGTGTGTTTGTGTCTGTGTGTGTTTATCGCGTTCGCTATGCACAACTCCACAAACAAAAAAAAAAAGCATGACTGTGCCAGACTCTTTCAGCGTACTTCACCGATTCATCAGCAGGTTGAATGATGGATAAGGACTCATCACGTCACCAAGAGTTAGCGATACCCCTGAGTGTGTGTGTGGTGCGGTGTGTTGCTCTGTGTGTGTGTGTGTGTGTGTGTGTGTGTGTGTGTGTGTGTGTGTGTGCGTTTGTGTGTGTGTGTGTGTGTGTGTGTGTGTGTGTGTGTGTGTGTGTGTGTGTGTGTGTNTGTGTGTGTGTGTGTGTGTGTGTGTGTGTGTGTGTGTGTGTGTGTGTGTGTGTGTGTGTGTGTGTGTGTCTACACAACTCTGCAACAAGCATGAGTGTGCCAGACTGTTCCGTCAGACTTTCACAAGACTTCTGAAGAGGTTGAACCCATTGAGTGTATGTGTGTGTGGAAGGAAAAGACGTCAGGAGGAGGTTCATTCATAGCGATATGTACCTGGTCAACTGACAGGCTCGGATGGTTGCGTGATTGTTGTGGCAGGTCGCAGTTTGCGGAGTATTGTTGCTTATCATGGCCATAGGAAACTTTACGAACACCGTGGGAACTCTAGTTACAAAGGCGAGAATAAAAGCACGGATGAAGCGGAAGGGAAACCAGATATTGCAGCAGTTTCCCTCAGGGGAATCGTTTTTCAAAAAATCACCTTCTCTGTGAATTCTTCCCGACGGTCCGACTCATCTCAACTCCTTTCTGTGTCTTCCACCAACATAGCCTCTTGGCACTAGCAGTCGGACACACGGTTTCTCCTCTTAAGGGCTGTTGTAGGTTTCCCTCCTTCCTAGTAAACCTACAATCTTCCAACGAGCACCCCCCCTCCCCTGTCCATGCTTTCTACACATGAGGACCCGCACCCTTTTCTTCTGAACTCTCCTCTTTCCCCTACCCTCCCCCACATGTCTCGTTGCATCTCTCGAGCCACACCGGTGTGGCTCGTTTTTCTTTTGCCCCCTTATCTTCCCTTCTCTTTTGTTTTTCTTTTTCCCCCTTATCTTCTCTTCTCTTTTGTTTTTCCTTTTCCCCCTTATCTTCCCTTCTCTTTTGTTTTTCCTTTTCCCCCTTATCTTCCCTTCTCTTTTGTTTTTCCTTTTCCCCCTTATCTTCCTTTCTCTTTTTTCCTTCTTCTTCCTTCTCCCTTTTTTCCTTTTTCTTATTTCTCCTTTTTTTCCTTTTTCAGAGTTTTTCTTCCTTCTCCGTTTTTTTTCCCCTGCTGGATTAGCCAGCAGTTGGCATAATAGGTCAATGGATCAAGTCCCCCTTTGTCGGCGCCCTGTTCCACTTTGTCATGTTGTGTACAGCATGTCGCGCTTCATTGTGTTGAGCTTCATCGAGTTCTGCATTGGTCCATTGTAATTCAGCTAGTACGCATTTTTGGTTGTCGTGCGATGAAAGAAAATGTCGCTCTTTTTCCGTGTTCAAAAATACAAAACCCTTCGGTCATCCTCCAGCTTATGAGACCCACCCGTCGTCCTCCTTTACGCATCGTCCACGATCTGTCTCCCGATTCTCTCCATTCTTGGACGTGTACTATTTTTTAACTTGTGGCGAGGACTGTGCTCTGCTCGCATCATGCAGAACACATTGCGTGACCTTTCTCCTCCCACACGTACGTGCATTTCACAGCTCTTTCATGGTGTTTGCGAGCTTTCTGCCGCCTGCATGCATCCATTGTCCCCTTCCCTTCCCCTCTTCCCTTCCCCTCGTCCCCCCTTCCCCTCCCCCCGCACCCCAACCCCCGCCACCCAGGATGAATTTGACTCCATCTTCTAGTTCTGGTTTCTGAACGAAGATGTTGGACATAACAGGGGCCACATGCTGCAGGGAACTGCAGTGTAACCTCTCTACGGCAGTCACTGCGTGAAAGCACGTGCATGTCAACTTCTGAAGTTCTGAGAAATGAACACAACCTACGGCTTGTCAGGCAAACACCTAACCAATAGGAGGTAAGTGGGCTGGGGTGTTTCAGGGAACTGTGGTTCTCCTCGATCAAGGATTTTGTTCAAATCTGTTGACGAGTTGCATCCCATCACCCCTCTGTTCAGATGCATGCTTTAGTGAGGTCTCCTCATAGTTGTGGTGGTTTGTGTGAATGATCGCGCAAATTTGTAGGCTCGTTTTGTGACGTCTTCATGCATGCTTTCCCTCCTCAAGAGCCCCTTGCTCCTTTCAAGGGCGACTTCGAAACATTCCCGTGATGTGTTGTTGCATGCCCCCCCTCCTCAAGAGCGCAACGCATCTCATTGATGTATCACCCTCCGACAATCGTGTTTCTGTCTCTTCCCTCTCTCTCTCTCTCTCTCTCTCTCTCTCTCTCTCTCTCTCTCTCTCTCTCTCTCTCTCTCTCTCTCTCTCTCTCATTCTTCGTTCTGGAAGCAACGTCGTTGTCTTGCGTTACGTGAATTATATGGGCAAAATGAATGTGTATGTCATGCAGATGCCTAGTTTTCACTGCTGCTTCAGTTTTTCGCTCGGTGTTTCATATGTGTCAACAATCCATTGTATGCTCTTGTTCAAATGCTAGAAAATTTTGGAACGTCATCGATGGGTCGTTCTCTCCTCTGGAAGCCATGGTTTGTCCACTGGGTTTTTGTTATTAATGCCATCGTTTGGGAGATGAGTGCAGATGCTGTGTTGCAGGAAGGGAACTGAGAGAAAAGTCGAGTCCGTTAATTTACGTCTTTCCAAATGGAGACCGTATCCTCAGTATATACAGTCCATATAATTGGAACGCTTCTCCCCTGACTCGAGCGTCTAGGGTTTATCCCCACCCACAGGAGCATGAGGGGGCCTTTTCTTCTTCTGTATTTTTTTTTTTGTTTTAACCAAGGCCCACCAGGTCTTCTAGGGAGGGTGATATGAGCAGCCTCCTCAAGTAGTGGTGGGGAGCATCTCCTGTTGGGGAGCATCTCCTGTTGGTGGGGAGCCTCCCCAAGTGATATGAGCAGCCTCCCCAAGTAGATCCATTACCGCCCGCTCCATGTAGTGGTGGGGAGCATCTCCTGTTGGAAAACGGGTCCAGCGTCCCTTAGATCATGAATGGACGATGGAATACACATGAATGATGCATGAGAGAGATTGGGCTGCGGTTTTCGGGAGGACATCCTGTGACCTGAGAATGCACGCAGCACCTCTTCGCCCTTCTATCAGGCGCCAGATATGATCTGTAAAACGCAAGCGCCATGCGTTCTAAGCAGGGAGGAGACACTCTGAACCCAGCGGTTGCTGCTATCCACCTTGGGCCGGTCCATCCCGATATGTGTCCCCTGCCTGTGTGTCTTGCTCCGAATAGAATATATCTATCATATAGAATAGAATATATAATATATATATCTGTAGAGTTTTCCATCTGGTGTGGGTGAGTGATAGTCTACTTTGATTTTGGTTAAGGTGGATTATCACTTACAGTGTAATCAGTGAGGGGATTCTACAGACTGTTAAGGGTTCAGCCTCCTGATGAGTCGGTGAAACTCCGACGAAACAGTTTGTCACAGCCCCTCGTTTGTTGTCCTCTTCTCCCTCTCTGCCTACGGTTTACCGGGCAGTTCTATTTGAAGATATATATATTGTGACGATATATAGTGTATATATTGTATATATATTCTATATGATAGATATATGTATTAATAATAGAATACAACAATTATATTATTGTATTCTTCTATTTTCTTATTTATATTCTATAGAATTAGATTTGATCAGCGGGCCAAGGAGAACTGGTTGTTGGAGGCATTCTCTCCCCACCGGCGGGTTGAAGATTCATTTTGTCTATTTGAACTTTGAAGTATATTTGACAGTTTGTACAGTCCTCTGTGTGTGTGTGTGTGTGTGTGTGTGTGTGTGTGTGTGTGTGTGTGTGTGTGCGCACAGCCACACGGGCCTGCAGGGCCCGACCAGATGGAAAATAAGGGCCCTACAGGCCCTGTGTCGTTTCAGCCTGAAAGCCTGAAAACAAGGGCCTACAGGCCCTGTGTCGTTTCAGCCTGAAAGCCTGAAAACGAGGGCCTACAGGCCCTGTGTCG